ACTCAGCAAGGTTGCCAGGCTCTGCTTAGGATACACTTCCTGCATTGTAGACTGGAATTTGTCTCCAGTCAGAAAGCAGGGGCAATCATCAGGCTCCCTTCATTTTGTTTTCTCTTCTCTGAGGGACTACAGCTGGTGTAATGTCCAAAAATAGTCGCCTCCTATATCTTGTCCATTTTTTCTTGTTATGGTAGAAAGGCAAATACCATTCCAGTTACTGCATGGTGGCTGGAAGAAAAATCTTACACAGCTCAATTGTGATTCCACTTCCAGCAATTTCTCCTCAATGTAGGAATCTGATTTACAACAGAGGCCTGGCTAATCAGTTTTGAAAGTTCCCAGGGACAAACTGTTCCATCTCTTTCTCTTCTTACTATAGTCTCCTTGCATTGATTTGCGGTTGGATTGGGGAAGCCCCTCCTAGTTTCACCTACAATTATTATCGAGCCATGCTTTCCAGTGAATATCTCCTAGCTATTTGGGGATTCGATTGTTCTCAGGAACCTTATCACCCTGCTGTGTTCTTCAGCTTCCCCTTGCACAGATGCTAGTCCATGTAGATTTTATTGCTGTTGGTAGTTTGTAGTTCATCTCCATTTGCTTGCTTTTGGTGTTTAGGGGGAAATCTTGTCACCTAGTTTTCTTGTAAATGTACATGGATTTTCTGGTTTTTTTTTTTTTTTTTCTTTCGTTTTCATGTAGTTGCTCTGTGGAGATTCAAAAACTATGCAGCCACCAAACTAGCCACCACTTTTCTGGCATCTGGTAGAAGTTTTAAGAGCCTGAATATAACTTACCGTCCCTATTTTTCTGCAATAGTAGAAGCATGTATCAAAATGTAGCCTTCATTAGCTTGTGTCTCTGAGTTATTACAATGAGTATAGCTCCCTCGGTAACTCACAATGGACAGGTAGCTGACTGAATTGAAAAATAAATATGGTTGTTTTAAGACATTGAGATTTGGGGATTTCCCATTATCACAGCATAATCTAATCTATTTTGAGAGCTCTTTCTATCCAACCCAATTAATTTAGTTAATTTCAAGGTGGGCTACCATAAGGAGAGAGAGAGAGAGAGAGAGAGAGAGAGAGAGAGAGAGAGAGAGAAAAGAAGAAGAAGAAGAAGAAGAAGAAGAAGAAGAAGAAGAAGAAGAAGAAGAAGTAGTAGTAGTAGTAGTAGTATGAGGACAGGAGGAAAATAAATAAAATAGTTTGAGGGCAGCCCGAGTGGCTCAGTGGTTTAGTGCCACCTTCAGCTCAGGGCGTGATCCTGGAGACCCGGGATCGAGTCCCACGTCTGGCTCCCCTGCATGGAGCCTGCTTCTCCCTCTGCCTGTGTCTCTGCCTCTCTCTCTCTCTCTCTGTGTGTGTCTCTCATGAATAAATATGTAAAATCTTAAAACAGTTTGAGAATCTTCTAAGAAATAACTTTTAATATTGATGACACACAGAATAGGTCAGAAATAAATAGCTTGCTAAGTTTTGGGGGAATAGTATTGCCAAAGAAAGCATCACTTAGCCCCGTTGTAACGGGTGAATAGTACCCTCTGAAATCATTTAATGTGGTACTACTGTAACTAAATTACAGAATAATATATTCTGATATATATTACCCTATATCTTTCATAATTACCCACGATAGCATATCTCTAACCAGTGATTCTCAGAAGCTGAGAGAGGCTGGAGCCACTTAATTTTTTTTTTTTTTTAATGAAGAGTTGTCTGAGTAAAATTACAAAAGTTGTGGTTATTTTAAAAGTTTATCTTGACAAATAAATACGTTTAACCCTTGAAATAAAATGTCAACGATTCAGATACCATGTCATATTTTAATGCTATAATTTTCCATCTTCCATTAGCTTGATACTGAAGGATGCCATGCTCAATTGTTTCTTCCCAATTCCTTGTTTTCTGACTTTGATCATTGAGCAGGGGCGGGGACAGTAGGGGAAGATTCTAAACACAGAATCCCTGAAGGGCAGAACTCCGGTCATACATTCTGTAGTAGACATTTGTTGGTTTTTTGCCTTTCAGCTTCCAGTTACCTCATGTCTGCTATCAAATGCGATTTTTAGTGTTCTTGTAGTTCAAAAGAATAGAAAACCCAATTAACCTTGATTTTCAGACATCCACATCATCTTTCCCTGTCAGCCTGGTATTGGTTCATGAATAAAATGTTAGTAGAGATACAGGCTAATCTTATGAACTCAACAACATGGATTTCAGCTCCCCAGGAGAGTCGGAGGAGAGTATTCCAGCAGTGGCAGTGGGGATTGCAGGTGCTCTGAGGTAGAAACAACCTTAGTGTGTTTGAGGAGCAGAAAGCACACCAGTGTGTCTGGCTGACAATGGTGAGTTGGAGAGGAAGAAGGGTTGATTATGTTAAGCTTTGTTAGGCATTATAATAGGAAGCCATGGGAGGATTTTAAGGAAGGGAATAACGTGATACGAGTTCCATGTTTAAAAGATCATTTCAGGTGCTGTATAGAAGATGTATTATATAGCCAAGCAAGAATGGAAGCAGGTGACTAGTTACAATCCCTTCCAGTTCACTGCTATTGCAGTGGTCTGGATGTGAGAGGTTGGGTGGCAACCGTGTATATGGAAAAAGTGGCTTGAGGGTTGATATGTTTTTTTTTTTTTTAAAGATTTTATTTATTTATTCCTGAGAGACACAGAGAGAAGCAGAGACATAGATAGAAGCAGAAGCAGGCTCCCTGCAGGGAACCCGATGTGGGACTCAATCCCGGGACTCCAGGATCACGCCCTGAGCCAAAGGCAGACACTCAACCACTGAGCCACCCAGGAGTCCCGGTTGGTATGTTTTTGAAGCCAACTTGCTGATGGACTGAATATGGGGGAAATCAAGAGTGGCTCATAGTTTTGACTTGAGCAACTGGTTATTTGGTTATGCTATTGATTCTGACAGGAACAACTAGGAGAAGTAGATTTGTGGTAAGAATAGGGAATTCTACTTTGGCTAGGTCAGGTTGGAGATGCCTGATAGGCTGCCAAATAGAGATGTCAAGTAGGCAGTTAGATATACAAATTTGGAGACCCCAGAGACATTCAAGGTGGAAGACACAGATGTCTTGGCAGCTTGTACCCCCCCCCCTCCCCGCCGCCCGAACCCTTATTGTGGTATCTAACCTGGTGTGGAGTAGAAGAGAGGAACCAGCCAATCTAATTGTTGGCGCAATGGATTACAGGTGATACCTTACAGGAGGGAGAAGGCAGCAATTTATCTTTCCTAGAAAAGTCACTTAATTCTGAATTTGGATTAACCTCCCCTGCCATCATGTGTCTGTGTATATTGCCCCCTGTAGGATTACCAAATACCTTATACGTAGCCAGGCTATCCCATATGACACTGCTTCTTACTTAGCACAGTGTAGTGTTCAATCCTGTGTCAAAAGGCCTTTACAGGGATTGTGGCAAGGAGGTGCTGTCATTTTCCACAGGATTTTCCAGAACTGGAAGATTTAGAGGCTCAAATCTTTCTGGGTAGTGACTCCAAAGTGTGGTCCTGGATGCTCCTAATGCTTTGGAAACTGGGGGTGTTGGGCCCTCATTTCGACTTCAATCAAGGCAATTTCGCTCTGTATGCATAATATTTTGTTGAATAAGGTTTCTGCTTTCTGGAGAATGCAAAGCACAGGAATCTAACCTCTTCACCTGTGTAAGGAAAGTGAGGCTCAGAAAGGTGAAATAACTCCGACTTCCAGGCACCACCTCCTTCCAGACAGCTCTTGCCCTGCTCCTGCCCTGCTCCAAGAAAGGCTGTGGCGAGTCAGGAGGACAATTGCCAGAGGATAATTTCTGTATGGAAGGATCCTGCCCCTCCTACCTGAGCTCTAACGGGCTTTCCCTCTTTAGCTCGGAGCCCCATCGTGACCTTCCCAAGCTCTGGTTGTGGGATCTCAGATGAAGAAAAAGGGCACCCAAGGAGGAATGTGGCAAGTGAAGAGGACAGCAGGACCACCTGCTAGACCAGATCTTCAACTTGAGGGACGGGAGGCAGTTGAGAACAGTTTTGAAGGTGCAGACTGATGCGGGGTGCAGCGTTGGGGAAGGCAGCTGCCACTGGTCTTTTTCCACCTGCTGTTGCTCTGCGGGGAGAGGCTCGGCAGGCGCCCTCTCTCCCAGGGATGGGTCCAACTCCAGGATCCCAGCAGTGCCCGTACGTGTGTGTTAGGGTTGCAGAGTGAGAGAAGAAAGCCTGTTCTGCCGATTCGTTCGGCACGAAAGGCACGACTCTCCCGCGGTTCCCGGTGACCCGGGTTTCGGAGGTGGGGAGCGCGGGCGGCGGCGGCGGCGGCGGCGGCGGCGGGAACGCGGGCGAGCCCGGGGCCGTCCACCTGCTGCGGCGTCGCAGCGCAGCGCAGCGCAGCGCGCGTTCGGGAGGGGTTCGGGAGGGGTTCGGGAGGGGTTCGGGAGGGGTTCGGGAGGGGGGTTCCAGCGCGGAGCAAGGGTCCCGCGGCCACCGCCCCCCTCGGCCAGCGCGCCGGGCCGCACTGCAGTCGGGCCCCAGCAGCCTACCTCGGGGCGGGGGGGGGGGGGCGCGGAGGGCGGAGGGCGGAGGGCCGAGGGCGCGGGCGGGGGCGGAGCCTCCTTGTTGTTGTTTCTCGGCGGCGCCGCCCCTGAGGGGGGCGCGGGCCACGCGGCCGGAGGGCCCGCCTCCCCTCCCCTCCCCTCCCCTCCCCTCCCCCTCCCCGCCCCGCTCGCCCGCCTCTTTGTATCCAACATCCGGGTTTCCCCGCTGGCTCGGCTCCGCGGCCGCGGCTCAGGAGCCATTTTGGACTCGGTTCAGCTCCCCTCCCCCCACCCCTCCCCCCGTTCATGGCCCCTCCGGACTCGGCCCCTGCGCCCGGGGCCCGGGCCCAGCCCCGCCGCGCTATGCCCGAGTCGGGCGCCCCCCGGCCCGCGCCCCGCCGCCGCCCCCCGGCCCCCGCGTCGCCCCGGAGCCCGGGCCGCAGCCTGCGCCGCCCGCAGCGGCCCTGAGCCCGGCGCCGCCGCCCGGCCCTTGGAGCCTGCACGCCGCCCGGGGACGGAGGCGCGGGAAGCGCGCGGGGAGCGAGACCGGAGGAAGAAGCGGGAAGGAGAGCGCAGCCGCCGCCGGGCCCTGCGCGCCCCGGGAGCGCCGCGCGGCCCTGCCCGCGGGCTCCGGGTGTCGGCGGGGCGGCGCCGCGGAACATGACGGCGCCCTGGGCGGCCCTCGCCCTCCTCTGGGGATCGCTGTGCGCGGGTAAGGACGGGGCGCGGGGGCGCGGGGAGGGCGCCGCGCGGTGTTTACCAACAAAGGGCGGGCCCGTGGCCTCCTCGCCGCGCCACCTGCACCCGCTGGCGCCTCCCGGGGCGGGGACTGGGGGCGTCCTGGGCGCCGCCGCGCTCGCCGATGGGGGGGACGATCTCGTTGGTGCGGCCCCACGGTCGGGGCCGGGGCCGGGGCCGGGGCCGGGGCCGGGGCCCAGAGCGTCAGCCAGGCTCGGGGTCAGGCAGCCCGGGCGCGTGGAGCCCAGGGCCAGCGGGAGGGAAGCCACGGCGTGCGGAAGGCGGCCGGGCGTGGTGGGCAGGTCTGGCCCGGGGTGGCGGGACAGTAGGCGCCGAGCCGGCCGGGGGCAGGACCGCGCGACCCCCGGAGCCCCATCCCGCCGGCGTCTGCGTCGGGTTTCCTGCGGGGCGGGCCGCCGGCGCCAGCTCCCGCCCACGCCCGCCTCCCCCGCGGCGGCCCCAGGACCCAAGGTGCGGTCTCCCCACGGGACCGCTTTGTTCGGGGCTCCTGGGACGGGAGGTGGGGTGCGAAGAAAGATTGACCGGCCCCCGTTTGTGCCTCCGGGAAGCACGTGGCAGGGGTGGGTGATCGGCGGGGCTAGCGTCCGGCTCGTGCGTGTGGTGACGGTGTGTGGGTGCGGGTGCGGGTGCGGGTGTCTACACGCGGAGTCGCGCTGGGAAAGAGCTTCCCCCAGACCGAGGCGGTGACTGTCCCCCTCCAGCGGCGCCGCGGCGCGCCCAGCCCCGGCTGCGTGCAGGGATGGGGTCCGCCCTCGGGTTCGGTGGCTCCGGGCGGCCCTGGGGAACGCGGGGAGCCGCGCATTGAAGCTCCTGGGAGAAGCCTGGGGAGGTCGGGGCGGCTGGTGCGCGGAATCCGGGGCGCCGGGCCCTGCGCGCCTTTGTTCCCAGCCCCCATTACACACGCGGCGCGGGTCCCCTGCCGCCCGCCGTGGCAGCAGCGCCGAGTCTGGGAAACCCGGGAAGGGCGGGGCCTGGCGTGCAGGGGTGGGGCAGGGATCCCCGCGCTCCTGCGGGGGTGGAGGTGGGGGATCCCCGCCGCAGCCCCCCCCCCACTCTACCGGCTCCTGTTGATGTAGCGTGACTGGGTCGTGCGCACCCAAAGCGAGAGAGTTGTCAGTGTGGAGTTCGGAGCCGCGTAGTCAGAGCGCGGGGACGAAGAAGACCCGCGACTGGCATTTGGGCACAGTGTGACGGCGGGGGGGGGGGGGCGGGTATCACGGCCCTCTTGGAGCCGTTCCCCCGGTGGTAGAAGCAGAGTGGTGGTGTTGAGCTTGGTTCTCTCTCTGCCTTTTAAGTGCTGCTTGGAGATGCTTCTGAGGAGAGAAGAAGGCATTGCCCTCCGGAGGCTAGGGCCGCCAGGCTGACTTCCTAGGCATGCAGCAGCCCGCCTGGCTGTCTCTAGGTCTCTCTGGAAGGTTCTGGGCTCTTCCAAGCTCCAGCCTGCAGAGGGGACCTCCTTCTGTGGCAGGACAGCACCAGCCTCCTCTCCCTTCCTGGTGAGGCAGGACAGGACAGGGTGGGATTGGGCTCCTCCATGGTCTGCCTTTCCCTCCTTCCCTCGGCTTCCCCCACCTGACGTGGGCAGTGCTGGAGTTAGACGGAATCCAAGGGCCTGTGTTCCTGCCCTGAGACGAAGGTGGGGTCGCTGGGGGTTTCTTGTGGTCACAACAGCCAGTTTTCTGGTGGCTGCTGCGCTGACCTGTGAAGAGCTATGGGAAGAGCTGGTGCTCCTGTTCTTTGACTTCATGGATGCCCTTCCTTCAAGCTCTTGGCTTGCCATTTAGAATTACTCCATCACCTGCAGCACACAGTAGGAGGATCAGGAACAGCGCTGTCCAACAGAAATACGGCATCAACCATGGATGTAACTTAGAATTTTCTAGTAGTCGTGTTAATAAAAGAAAAAACAGGTGTCTTAGTCTGTTTGGGCTGCTGTAAATAAATACCATGACTGGGTGACTTCAGTGACAGAATTTATTTCTCACAGTTCTAGTGTCTGGAAGTCCAAGACCAGTGTGCCAGCATGGTAGTGTTGTGGTGAGGGCCCTCTTTCTGGCTGGCAGATGGCTGCCTTCTCACTGCATCCTCATGTGGCTTTCCTCTGTGTTTGGAGGGCCAGGTAGAGAGAGCTCATTCCTTCTTCCTCTTCTACTAATTCTAAATTGAGGGCCCCACTACCATGAACCAAACTAACTCTGATTACCCCCCAAAGGCTCTAGCTCCAAATACCGTCCTTTTGGAGGTTAGGGTTTCAAGATACGAATTCTGAGGGGACACACATAAACATTCAGTCTCTACCTCTGAAACTAATAATACACTACGTTAATTAATTTAATTTAAATAAAAAAAAACTAGTCTATAACAAGGTGAAATTAACTTTAATGGTATGGTTATTTAACCTGATATGTACCAAGTAATCAGTATTGAATGATTACATTATTTCACATGTAATCAGTATTTTTTTTTTTTCTTATGATAGTCACAGAGAGAGAGAGAGGCAGAGACACAGGCAGAGGGAGAAGCAGGCTCCACGCACCGGGAGCCCGACGTGGGATTCGATCCCGGGTCTCCAGGATCGCGCCCTGGGCCAAAGGCAGGCGCCAAACCGCTATGCCACCAGGGATCCCTGTAATCAGTATTAAAACAGTTAATGAGACATTTTTTTTTTTTGTGCTATCCTCAAAATCCAGTGTGTATTTTATACCTACAGAACATGTGAACTTTCCCCATTTCAGGTGCTCAGTAGTCACATTTGGGTAGTGGCTGCCATACTGGATGGTGCATAGAAGAAAGGGGGGAATTTATGCTATAACAATGGCACATGGTGCTTGTTACAAGATCACTGTTCTGCAGGTTTTTCGTGTTCTGTGCCTGGCTCAGTACCCTTGTGAAATAAGTTTGGCACTTGCCTTGTAGGACATCCTAGACAGATTTCTCTCTTTAGGATTTCTGACATCTGTCTCTGTATTTGGGGTTCAGATCAGAGCCTGTGGGGGTGGGGTGGAGAATTTCTGAGTGGAATGTCAGGAGCCACTGGCAGAGGAGGAGCTAACTCTGTCTGTCCCATCAGGAACTGCCAGCTTGGACTGCCTGAAGTTGTCCTCTTAGGCTGGATACTCTCTGATCCAAAGGTGTTTTATGTCCTCAGGGGAGAAATGTGTGTATGTGTTATGAGTGAGGTGACCTGCAGGCTTTTTGTAGTGGTGGCTGCCAAGGATGCAGACCACAGATCTACGGGTTGTTGGTGCCATTCCCCAAGGAAAAGGCGTCCTTTGCTCCCTCTCCTTGTATCTGCTGGGTACTCCAGGTACTGGCTGGCTGGGCCGCCCTTTGGGAGGAGTGGACACCCTTACTGTTAGAGGCTCTTCCGAGAAACTCAGCCAGCCTTCCAGGCTCTATAGCTGTGTGAACAAATAAGTCCTGGAACCCCATAGCCTCCCCCAGCTTGGGTGGGCCTCTGGTGTACTACTCTGCAGGGGCATTAAGAATCCCCAGATTGGGGGATCCCTGGGTGGTGCAGTGGTTTGGTGCCTGCCTTTGGCCCAGGGCGCGATCCTGGAGACCCGGGATCGAGTCCCACGTCGGGCTCCCGGTGCATGGAGCCTGCTTCTCCCTCTGCCTGTGTCTCTGCCTCTCTCTCTCTGTGTGTGACTATCATAAATAAGTAAAAAATTAAAAAAAAAAAAAAAAAAGAATCCCCAGATTGGGATGCCAGGGTGGCTCAGTGGTTGAGTGTCTGTCTTCTGCTCAGGGTGTGATCCCGGAGTCCGGGATTGTGTCTCACATTGGGCTCCTTGCAGGGAGCCTGCTTCTCCCTCTGTTTTTCTGCCTCTCTCTCTCTCTCTCTGTCTCTCATGAATAAATAAAATCTTAAAAAAAAAAAAAAAAAAAAGAAGAAGAATCCTTAGATAACACCTGGACCTCCCCTACCCCTAGCACTTAAGGAATTTGCAGGGAGCCCAGTGAAGAGTGCCCATTCTATACTATACCATGGACCTTTGTATCGTGAACCCCTCTGAGAATCCGATAAAAGCTGTGGACTCTTCCCCCAGGAAAATACAAATAAAGAAAGAGAAAGCATATGTGTGTGAGAGCCAGTGCATGCATTGTACATGCACACTTGCTGTTTTGCATTGATATCAGAAACTTGTAGCCCCCTGGGTTGGGCTCTGTGAAGTGCTGGCTGCCCTACACATAGCAATTGTACCAGTTTTGAGGGGCAATTTGTTGCCCTTGGTGGGGGGTGCACTGGGCTCATTCCCACATTGCTTCCTCCACTGGACTTCTTTACTTCTGTCCTTTGTAATCCCCCTGTAGTGTTTACATTCCAGCCCTGGTTCCTTTTTCTCCTCCTCCAGACAGCTCTCCCTTGAGTGCCTGTGCATTCAGCCCCTTCCTGGGAGCTCAGGGTGGTGCAAGTCGGAATCAAAGGACATCAAGTTAAGAGTTAAGATTCACTTGTAGATCCTGGCCTGTTACCGTGGACCAAGATTTGGGGGCTGTGAGGAGGAGCTGGTGCAGGGAGTACTTTTGAGAATAACACTGGTTAGAGGACAGCTCTCAGGCAGGGTCCTGGCTAGGTAGACCTCAATCTAGGACAGGGTTTCTCAGTCTCGACACTATGGACAATCTAGAACCTATGATTCTTTGTTGTGTGTGTTTGGAGATGGTGGTGACACCTGTCTTGTGCGTGTTAAGACCTTTAGCACCATCCTTTGTCTCTGTCCACTTAATGCTAGTATTGTGACAACAAAAATGTCCTGGGTAGAGGGGTTGTAAATCGCCTCGGGTTGAGAATCCTGGATCTAGAATGTTCCTGTGCTTTAAAGAGACAGTTGTGTGAGGTGGGGTTATGGCTAATGCCCACAGCACCTAGCCTTTGTGGATTCAAGGTGGGAGGTTGGAGTCTCCTCAAAGCCTGGGAGATCCCTGCCTGCTCGTCCATGAGGTGAT